ATTTCAAAAGGTGGTAGGACAGGTTAATAGGGTAGTCAAGGTGGTATGCGGGCAGTTATCAATACAGTACTGCATCACATCACTATAGGAACAATTTGATTGTACTCGAGGGGGTACAGAGGAGATTCACCAGGATGTTGCCTGGGATGGAGCCTCTTAGCTACAAAGAGACTGGATAAGCTCAGGTTGTTTTCTTTGGAGCAGCAAAGGTTGAGGGGAGACCTGAAAGAAGTGTAAAAGTTATGACGGGCATGGCCAGAGTAGATAGAACACAGCTGTTTCCCTTAGTTGCACGGTCAAAACAAGGGAGCATACCTTTAAGATGAATGGTCTGACATTTAGAGGGAACTTGAGGAAATGTTTTTTTCCACCCAGAGAGTGGTAGGGTCTGCCATGCCCTGCCTGGGATGGTAGTTGAGAAGAGAAACCTCACAACTTGGACAAGCACTTGAAGTGTCAAAACATTGGAGGCTATTGGCCTAGTTCAGGAAAGTGGAACTAGTATAGATTTAGTGCCATTTTGGCACTACACACTGAATAGGCCAAAGGGCCTTTTCTGTCCTGTACGTTTCTACAATTCTATCAAATTCAGTACATGTTAGACAGTAGGGAATACCCAGAGTTTTAATGCAGGTTTTAGTTCACTGTGCTGAGTTTATGACTAGGAATATGCACACTGAAGGCTTACTTTTGATTTAGGATGATCAAGGATTTCTTTTTAGCTTAGAAAACCCAGAGAACAGAATCAATTTGAAGTTAGAAATGACAGATTATTGAAAGACTGAGAAAACATAAACGTCAGTTTTGAGAGTATTCCTGCAAGAAAATGTCACAGTTCATAGAAAACACAGGAAAGTTAGTTGAGTCAAACTTCAAGATTTGAAACAGGAAGGTAATCTCTCCAAATGTGAAATGATGAAGGGATGGTGTTGGAGAAAACACAAAAACTTTGTTTGGCTGAGTTTTAAGATCTTTCAAACTGTCATTTTTCCTTTCATGTAGTAAATTTCAGTTTAATCATTAAAGCCCACAGCCTCCTGTGACTATTTCAGTGAATGGCCACCACATTAACTGGGAAAAAAAAAAATTCATCAAGCCAGGTTTCAATGTGGGATATGACTTGTCTCGTAGTAACATCAGCTGGGAATACAACAGCGTGCTCTGAGGAGTCTCGATAATCAGAGGTCATATTCACATAACCTATAAATAATTACAGTAAAGGCATTAAATCTCATGGTGTTTACTCAACAAGACTCTTCTTGTTAGATCAGAAAGGTGGGCATCCTCGTCCATAGCAGACTAATGTTTCTGTACTGTAGTGAATATCATGCTTGTCTCACTTGTAAAAGTCACCAGTTTGAAGCTGAACAGAAATATTCTAGAAGATTTATGTATCTCCATGTGAGCAGAAATTTTTAAGGGGTTCTTGCGGTGCAGTGATAATGACCCTGGTTTCAAGTTCCACTTGCTCCTGAGGTATGTCATAACATCTGATTAAAAAATATCCACTACACCATTTAAGGCTTAAAGGAATCACACAAACCATAAAGCTGTCCAGAAGCTAATTTGGCATTCCTCCTACAGGAGGATTGATAGGGACTGCATCCTTCAACATTCTGAAACAAATTCTTTGTACAAACCACTCATACCAGGGCAGTTGTCAACTTGCAGTTTGGTTTGAAGCAGCATTTCACTGTGCGATTCCAATCCCCAGCGTACATTACTAAACCAACTTTTCACTCTAATATTTATCACCACAATGTTCATATTTTCACATAGGTCTCTATAACTGTGATTAGCAAATTTCCCTACGATATCAGACAAGAACTTAGCCAATGGCTAAATCTAATCCCTATGCATTTCTACATCACTATCTATCCACTACCTGTTACAGTTTCATGTTTTGTGCACATCCCTTCGATGAGCACAGCATTTTCCTTCAGCAAAGGTGACCAAATTGACCATGCAGCTTTTTTGCTTTTTCCGATTGCTACCGTGTGAAGACATTAACACTTCCCTAACATTGTAATGAAAACGTAGGGTTTTTGTTAAAAGGAATAGCCAGATCAGATAAACTGCAGATCCAGGGTCTTGCCAAAAATAAATGTTTTATCACATTACACATTCAGTTTTATTTCATGGAAAGTTTATTTAACAGCAAAAGTACTGGATTAGAGATTACATTAGTGGTAATAAAGCACAGTAGTTTACTCCAGCTATTTCTCATGGAATCACTTTTTAGCGTTGTCATCCTGAACTTAAAACAAGTCAAGCTTTCGGACTCCACACTTGCTTTGGATCCTTGTAATATGAGCTGCTCTTGTGAACAATCTTCTGTCTTCGAATAAGAGTTTCTTTGATTCCAACCTTCACCTCCAGAGCCCCTTTATCAGCTGCTATGTTAAACTCCTGAAAGCCAGTTGGTGAATGAGGAAACCAGTGGTCAATTGTCAAGTTTTAGATTCTTTGACAAAGTGAGCCATAATAAATGTAGAGCTCCTTATTATACCATCTATGACCAGTACAGCTCCTCACTCTACAACCCACTACTTTATCATTAATAAAAGCAGAACATTCAACAAAAACTTAACAAATGAAATCAAAACGTAACTCCCTAGACTGACATAATGTAATTTAGTTCTGGTGGTACCCATCAGTCTTAGACAGCCACAGGAATACAAGCAGACACCACATGTTCCCTTTCCAGAGACACCAAAGTACATTCAAAACCTAAAGAAGTGAAGAAGAGTATCGGGTCAAATGATACCCACAACTGCCTACACCTGTTAATGGCCCTTTTGACCTGCTAATGATCATATCACAAAAGCAGCATTGTATAGAGTCAGCATGGATTTACAAAGGGAAACCTTGCTCGACAAATCTACTGGAATTTTGAGAAGTAGTAGAGTTGATCAGGAAAGCCAGTGATGAGGTTTACTTGCACTTTCAGAGAGCTTTTACCATGGTCTCATATAAGAGGTTAGCATGAAAACTAAGTGCATGAAACTAGAGGTAGTGTACTGACATGAAGAGAGAACTGGTTTGTAGAAAAAGTAAGAATAAACAGACGTTTTCTGACTGTCAGCCAATGACAAGGATGGTACCTCAGGGTACTTGGATTAGCACTTGGATCCCAGCTTTGTACAATATATGTTAACAATTTCAATGAGGAAACCAAATATAATTATCTCCAATTTTGCAGATAACACAAAACTGGGTGGGAGGGTGAGCTGTAAGGAGGGCGCCATGATGTTTTAGTGTGATCTGGACAAATTGAGTGAGTGGTAAATGTTTTGCAGATGCTGTATAATGTGGATAAATGTGACGTTATCCACTTTGGTAGCAGAACCAGGAAGGCAGATTACCTGATTGGGAAAGGGAGAGGTGCAATCTGTTACCAATGAGATGTGTGTGACCTTCTATACCAGTTGCTGAAAGCAAACATGCAGGTGGAGCAAGCGGTGAAGGCGGCAAATGTCTTGTTGGTCTTCACAGCAATAGGATCCAAGTACAGGATATCTTGCTGCAATTGTAAACGGCCTTGCTGAGACCAGATTTGGAATATTATGTGCAGTTTTGTTCTCCTTCTCTGGGCAAGGATATTCCGGTTATGCAGGGATTTGAAAAAAGGTTTACCAGACTGATTCTTGGAATAGCAAGATCGAAACATGGAGAGACAGGATCAGTTAGGACTACACTCGAGTTCAGAAAGATGCCGAGGTGCTGTTTAGGAACCTGTAACATCCTAACAGGATTTAACAGAATAAATGCAGGAAGGATGTTCCTGATGTCTGGGGTGTCCAAGATCAGGGGTTCAGGCTAAGGACATACAGTAGTCCATTGAGGACCAAAATGAGGAGAAATTTCTTCAAGTGAGTGGTGAGACTGTGGAATTCCTTGCTACAGAAAGTTGGGCTGAAATTTCAAGAAGGAATTAGATATATTTGTTAATATTAAAGGAATCAAAGGGTATGGGGAGAAAGGGGGATGTTGGATGATCAGCCAAGATCATATTGAATGGCAGAGCAGGCTCAAAAGAGGTAAATGGCCTACTCCTGCTCCTAATTTCCATGTTTCAATGGATGAGTCTGTCCTTACCATCCCTCCCCCTACTCCCACATTGGGAAACCAAAGATCAGAAGCCTGGGACTGAAATGCTTGCAAAACCAGAGGAGCAATCCCTCCGAAAAAAAACAGAAAAGGTGGTTTCAACACCTCTAAGCTCCCCCCAAGACACTCCCCATCCTTTCACAATGACTAAGTCATAATCCTGGAACTGCCTCCTCATCACCATCATAGGTATACCTTCAACAAGTGGATTGAATTTGACATCGATTCCCAGATGTTAAGTGGGAAGAATCTGATGTGAGAATCCCGCAGGAGACTGCTCACAACCTCCAGACAGCAGGATGGGCCACAACAAACTGAGTGTTGCTTTATGCTCTTTAGAACGCCAATATATGCAATAAATTAAACTGAGTAATTAAACAAAATTAATGGGTGACAGCCATAAGTCTCTCCTGATACCTGTTCAACTAATCATTGAATGAAAGCTCCCAATCCATACATCCTTCACCTTCAATCAAACAACTCACCATTAGATTACACAATGTTAAACCCCGGACTTGGAGTCTCTGCCTCCAGCAGACTGAAAAATCAAATGGATTCAAGACTCGAAACACAAATGTGCCAAGACAGGTTTGCGATGGTCAAGACCACAGCTATAGCTTTTATTCCGCTGCTTTGACCTCTGTATCTGCACATTAGTTAAGATTCAGATCCTTCACTGGATGCCATTTCTGTAGACTATCCTCAGCATGTAGTACAAAACAGTTGAAAAATTGAAAACTGATCCCAGTACACACTGTTTACTGAATTTCTGTTAAAATCAAGATCCAAGTACTCTTCACACACAAACCCACAATGGCCAGCAGTAAACAAGTAATCAGACACCAACAGCCTTTGCAACAGCCAGTGAAATATATTTTAAGAACACTTACCTTAAAGCCTTCCTTGAGTAACACTCTCTGCTGCTTGATTGCTACGCTCTGAACCCTTGAGCAAAACAAGAAACCAAGTTCAGCCAAAGTCAAAAGCTGCCAAAACGTTTAGAATGGTACTCACCAGCCAATGAGTACTACACTGACAGCTTCAGGAACAATGTGAATACAACACAGGCGTCATGCTCAGGTTCAGAAAGCTGCTGCTCCTCACGCCACACTGCAAAAATCAAATGTCACCTCCTGCAGCAGTGTCACTGCCTTGCACTGCTTCTGCTTTCAGTTCAACCATGCCTCAATGCCATTTCTCTTCCACTCAGATACAAGTTTCAAGTGAGAGATATGGGCAATTTACTGAGCCTGGCATTTTAATACTGTAGGAGACCTTGTCAGGGCACCAGGGAGAATCAGCGCCGCGTGGTCAGAGGGCCAGCGCCGAGGGAGCGCCATGCTATCAGAGGGTCAGCGCCGAGGGAGCGCCGCAGGAGCACCGCACTGTCGGTGGGTCAGTGCTGAGGGAGCGCCGCACTGTCGAAGGGTCAGTACAGAGAGAGTGCCGCACTATTGAAGGGTCAGTGCTGAGGGAGCGCCGCACTGTCAGCATGTCAGCGCTGAGGGAGCGCCGCACTGTCGGAGGGTCAGTGCTGAGGGAGCAGGCACTGTCAGTACTGAGGGAGCGGGCACTGTCGGAGAGTCAGTGCTGAGGGAGCGGGCAGTGTCCAAGGGTCAGTGCTAAGGGAGCGCGCACTGTCGGAGGGTCAGTGCTGAGGGAGTGCCGCACTGTCGGAGGGTTAGTGTGAAGGTGGACTAACTGTGAGATGGTGTTTGTGTTGGTTTGGGGGTGGGGGGCGTGTATGATCTTCGTGTACACGTTCCGTGTAGAGTGTGACTCATGACTCGCCACTCGGCCCTGGCCCTGTGTCTCCTCACAAGCTCCTGATGTCTTACCCGCTCAGCGTCTCTCACTCTTTCGGCTCCGCCGAGAAGACGCACTCAAAATGGCCGAACTTCCGCTCCCAACAACCCACCGGCAACTGCGGACAAGGTGGGACACCCAACATGGCGGATCTACCTCCCGGCATGGGACACCCAACATGGCGACTTCACTCTCCCGGTGAGAGACATCAGTATGACGGCTGCTCTGCAATTGGCGGTGAGCTGTAGGATACATGGGAATTGATGGACAAAATGAAGAAGTGGAATAAGAGAACATGAAGAGAAGAGAAAATTAAGGAACGTTCACGTTACAATCTAGTTTGGAACGTGAATATTTACTCAAAGATTAGCGACACAATATTCCATGGTTCTGAACAAAACAACAAAAATACTCAACAACGTTTCTAAAGTAATTAAATCCGTGGCATATGCCCAGTTTATTTCTAACACCCCAGAATGCACGTGTTAAACTGGATTGTGATCAACACTCCACAAGGCTGGGCAAGAAGCAAGCCAGATCAAGACTGGTCCCCCTCTTAGTACCCACAAAGTCTCACCGTTTGCAGAGCCTTACAAATGTTAAAGCTGAGGTTGTTGAATTGCTCGTCGAGCTAGCTTATTCTCATTCAGACATTTTGTCACATAGAGGGCCGAAGGGCCTGTTCCTGTGCTGTAATTTTCTTTGTTCTTTGTTCTAGAATTGGACCCCATATACAAACCCATACAGATCAAAACTGGAAATGACACTACCCACCATAATGGACCAAACAATATAAATTAAAACCAGAGTAGAATAAGATCACTTCATCGGAGTGTCCACTGACGATGTTACCTAGCATGGTAATGAAACGTCTGAACGAGAACAAGCCAAACAAGTCAACAACCTTACCCACAATCCAAGCTACAGATCTTTACCAAAACTTTGAATGTTAAAGCTTTTTTAATGGAACCCACGGTACCTGATTTACCTGACTTTAAGACCAAGAGTGGTAGAAAGGAGAGAACATATTTCTGTGCTAAACAAGAATTATTATTTATTCTAAGCAATTAGACTATAGCTACAAATAAACAGATTGGTATATAACACACTAACTGAAAAGCTTGTCCCCTCATAAACTTCAAGGGTATTTGCTTCCCAATTCCAAAGTTGAGATGATCTTATTTCTCTTGGAATCCCTACAGTGTGGAAACAGGCCCTTCAGCCCAACAAGTCCACACTGAACCTTGGAGCATCCCACACAGACTCATCCCCCTATAACCCACCTAATCTAGGGCAATTTAGCATAGCCAATTCACATAACCTACACATCTTTGGACTATGGGAGGAAACCCAAGCAGACGCAGGGAAAATGTGCAAACTCCACACAGACAGTCACCCAAGGCTGGAATTGAACCCAGGTCTCTGGTGCTATGCAGCAGCAGTGCTAACCACTGAGCCACCATACCACCCATGTTCATTTGTCTTTCTCCAGAAGCTTCCACTGGTTTGCAAGGAGTATAGAGTGACTGATTCACTCACAAAACGTCTTTGATTCATGAATTAAAAAATCATGGCGCACAGCACCTGTTGCAGGAAAGTTTTTATGGCCTTATTATTTTCTTCAAGTTTAAACTAAGGTTTTTAAGCACAGAGAGCAGGCAACTTCTGCTGGGGGATCATCAGCAGATTTCTCTCTCTCTCTGTCTGTGTCTCCGTAACTTATTTCCCGTTCCAACCTGCTCAGTTAGTTGAGAACCAGTCAGCCTCACTTCTTTCTCCTTGCAGTCCACAGATTTTAAAGACACAAGAATAAAAAAGGCACAGTTCTTACATGCCTCCAACCTTATGAGAGAAACACTGTTTTTAAAAATGCATTTCATTACACCAAGAGACATCCATTCAATTTTCTTCGTTCCTCATAGGGTGGCACAGTGGCTCAGTGGTTAGTACTGCTACCTCACAGCACCAGGGATTTAGATTTGATTCCAGCCTTGGACGACTGTCTGTGTGGACTTTGCACATTGTCTGTGTTGGTTTCCTCTGGGTGCTCCAATTTTTCTCCCACGGTCCAAAGATGTCCAAGGTAGGTGGATTGGCTATGCTAAATTTCTCATTGTACCCAGGGATGTTTATGTTAGGTGGGAAACGCAGGTGTTGGGGAATGGGTCTAGGTGGGATGCTCTTTGGAGGGGTGATGTGGACTTGTTGGGCCGAATGGCCTGTTCCCATACTGTAGGGATTCTATATACAAACTAACACAAATGTTAGAATTTGTGAAATGTTAACTTATTGAAACATCTTTCATTCAGGATAAGTGTAACTATAAACTACAACATCATCTAAATAGATAACACAATTATGAGCTAGCTATGACTTGATTTATAAGCTTCTGCAATGTAGCTAGGGTGTCCTTTAATCCAAATGGCATCGTTGGTGTAAACCATTTGGTACAACAAAAGCAGATATTTCTTTAGCCCTTGATACTGATTGCTCTTGCCAGTACCCCTGCAATAGATCAATCTTAAAATGGGATGAGGCACTGCCAATAGTATCAATGCAGCCTTCAAACAATCGAATTGGGAATGGATGTGTCTTCCTGACTACATTCATCTCTGTATAACCTATATAGAGCCTAGTTCTTCAATCCAGTTTAGGAACCAACACAATTGGTGAAATCCAGCTGCTTTTGCTTGGTTTAATCAAGTAATTTTCCAGCTTGTACTGAATCTGTGTTTGCACCTGAGCTTCTTTCACAAGGCTCAACCGATTAGGTTACTGTTGTCTCGGTCTTGACTCTCTCACATACATATCATGTTTAGAAAATGTGGTACTTCCATGTACGGATTACCTCATACTTTCTCAGTCGTCTTATGAGATCATCCTGTTCTTCTTTCTCTTGAAAACACAGTGCCAACTGTCCCAATAATTCTGTATTAGCTGGTTGAACCTGTTAAGCGGTGGTAATGTCTGACCAACGATTAAATTTTTCAAAGAGGCAACCAGATATGTTGAAAAGGACAATGCTTTTGATGTCATCAACTTGGACTTCAGCAAGGCTTTTTATAAGGAAGACTGAAGCCCATGGGATCCAAGGAAGTTTGGCAAATTGGATCCACAAATGGCTGAGTGACAGGAAGCAGAGGTGATGTTTAAGGGGTGTTTTTCTGATTGCAAGTCTGTGTCCAGTGGAGTCACACAGGGGTCAGTATTGGGGTCCTTGCTGTTTTAGGTTTATGTAAATGATTTGACTTGAATTTAGGAGAGTTGATCAGTTAGTTTGCAGATTATACAAAAATTGGCAGGTGGTAATGAGGATAGCCTTAGACTACAAGAGGACATAGACAGGCTGGTTGGATGAGTCGATCAGTGGTAAATGGAATTCAATCCAGATAAATGTGAGATGATGCACTTGGGCAGGACAGACAAGGCAAGGGAATACATGATGAACAGCAGGACCCTGGGAAGATACAATGATCAGAGGAACCTTGGTGTGCATGTGCACTGGTCTCTTATGGTATCAGGACAGATGGATAAAGTGGATAGAAGGCATGTGGGATACTTGCCTTCATTAGTTGAGGCATAGAGTTTCAGTGCAGGGAGGTTATGCTGGAACTGTATAAAATTTTGATTAGGCCATTATGTGCAGTTCTGAAATCCAGATTGTAGAAGGAATGTGATAGCACAGGAGAGAGTACAGAAGAGGTTTACCAGGAACTTGGCTGGAGAATTTCAGTTTTGAAGAGATTGAATAGACAGGGGTCGTTATCCTTGGGCCAGAGGAGAATGAGAGGGGATGTGCATTGAACTGTATAAAGCAATGAGGGACAGGAAGAAATGTTACTCCTTGAGTAGTAAAGGCGTGGAATGCCCTGCCTGCAAAAATAGTAGACTCGCCCACTTTAAGGGCATTTAAATGGTCATTGGATAAACATATGGATGATAATGGAATAGTTTAGGTTAGATGGGCTTCAGATTGGTTTCACAGGTCGGCGCAACATCGAGGGCCGAAGGGCCTGTACTGAGCTGTAATGTTCTATGTTCTATGTTCTATGATAGAGAGATCAATGACAAGAAAGTGTAGATTTAAGGTAAGGGGCAGAGGGTTACATGAGATGTGAGGAAAGATTTTTCACCGAGATGGTTATGGGAGTCTGGAACTCACTGACTGTAAGGTTGATGGTAGAAGCAGAAATCCTCATAACATTTAAGAATGGTTAAGATTTGCATTTTTGATGCCAATGTATACAAGGCAATGGCCAAGTGCTGGAAAATGTTAGAATGCTAGAATAGTTAGGTGGTTGATTTTGACTGGCATGGATGGAATGGGCCAAAGCACTTTTTCTATGCTGTAGGTCTCTATGATTCTACGAACTCTTAGAAGGTTCACTTTGAGAACTGCCTGTATCTTCTTCCACCCCACTCATATTATTTCAATCATCTTCCAAAACTCTTACTATCAAACACACTAGCTCCTCCTTAATCTTTACCCAACATGTCACGTGACGCAACTGATTCTTCTTCCTGCGATCTGAGAAATTAGTCACTTTCCTAATCCATCTAGCCTATTACCTTGCAAAGATAACATTAGCAATACTTCATCTCCCACTTGAAACTTTCTTAGTTGCTGTATATTTATCTGCCCATTCTTTCATTTTCACCTGTGAAACTAGTAAATGTTCCTGTGATACCATACAAGCTCCTGTGAGTCTTTCTTGATTTGTGGACATGAACATTGAGGATTGGTCTTTCTTGTTCAAGAACTCTTCCCCAATCAATTTCAATGGACCTCTAATTTCATTACCAAAAACCAATGAAATGGACAAAACCCAGTAGATTAATTTGGAGACTATCTGAGAGCAAATAATGAAAAAAGAAATCCTTTGTCTTAATCCTTTAGGTACCTGTGACAGTTTGCCTTTATCATTGGTTTGAGGATGTTACAACAGAGACAAACAGCCAAATCAAATCAGCCTCCCAGTCCCTGTGTCTGCAACGCAGTAAAATTAAAATATTCACTGACCCTCAAAATTGACCACAATGTTTCCTAACCAAACTTATTAAATAACCAATACAATACACAAAGTTGATAGTTTAAACAAAATAATTAATAATTTATTACTAATACAGTAGATTCAACTGAGCACAGTTAAACAGCAAGGTAATCCAATAATGTCCATGATTTAAATGTTCCTGTGATAGCCTACAAGCTCCTGTGAGTATTTCTTGAGATGTGGACATTCTAGGCCCCAATCACACATAGAGAGAGAGGCGAGCAATAAATTGAAAGAAAAATGAAAGAGATGTAACTTGCTAGTTCACTTAAGCAGTTTCAATGATGCATGGGAGATAGTAGGAACTGCAGATGCTGGAGAATCCGAGACAACAAGGTGCAGGGCTGGATGAACACAGCAGGCCAAGCAGCATCATAGGAG